GTTACTTGGTAAAAAAAAAAAAAACTTGTCTCCATGTATTGCTTGCACACATATAGTGTGGGTTTTTTCCTGGATAAAAATTTGTATCTTGAAATTTGACCTTAGCAACTTTTGTGAAGTTAAAGAGAACTGGCCACACTTTGCAATCTACATAATCTGCTGATATGAGATAGAAATGTGCAGAAATCTGTGCTCTCAATCAAGCTAACATGTTCATAAAACTTGTCCAAGAATGTTATGTATTATAAAGCTGTGCGCCAGTCCGTCAGTCGAAAGCTGACCATAGCCAGTGGGCTGAAAAAGAAAAAGTTAGCAGGTTCCTCCATCCATACAAACGAGGTAGATGGGGGAATCCCTTCCACCGGGGCATTGTGTTCTGACAGTGGGACCCATGGACCCCACATAACTGTTTTCCAGCATGTCCCTTTAACAGATCATCCCTGCTGAACCGGACAAATTTTGATCAGTATATTGCCAGCCTAGGAGTCAAAACATAATCTGAGTGGATTCCTCCCTCCCATTTTTACACTGCTCACAAAAATTAAAGGAACACTTTTTAATCAGAGTATAGCATCAAATCAATTAAACTGCTGGGATATTAATCTGGTCAGTTAAGTAGCAGAGGGGGTTATTAATCAGTTTCAGCTTCTTTGGTGTTAATGAAATTAATAACAGTTACACTAGATGGGCAACAATGAGATGACCCCCAAAACAGGAATAGTTTTACAGGTTGAGGCCCCTGACATTGTTTTTCCTACTCATCTTTTCTGCTTTTCACTAGTTTTGCATTTGGTTAGGGAAGTGTCACTACTGGTAGCATGAGGTGATACCTGGACCCTAGAGAGGTTGCACAAGGTTGCACAGGCAGTCCAACTCCTCCAGGATAGCACATCAATACGCACCGTTGCCAGAAGGTTTGCTGTGTCTTCCAGCACAGTCTCAAGAGCATGGAGGAGATTCCAGCAGACAGGCAGTTACTCTAGGAGAGCTGGACAGAGCTGTCTAAAGTTGTGGCTAAAGTTGGCTTTATATTAAAGTGATTGTAAAGGTCCAAGGTTTTTTACCTTCATGCATTCTATGCATGAAGGTAAAAACTTTATGTGAACAGCAGCTCCCCAGCCCCCTCTAATACTTGGTGTGCATGAGAGTATCGGCTCTCTGGTGACTCTCTCCTCATTGGCTGAGACCACAGTGGGAGCCATTGGCGCCCACTGCTGTCTATCACAGCCAATGAGTTGATAAGGAGAGAGAGGTGGTGGGGCCGAGCTGTGTCTCTGTGTGAGAATGGACACGTAGATCAGCAGCTCGGGGACATTAGGCAGGAGGGAGGCAGGAGAGAAGGGCCAGGAGTTCCGGTGGGGGACCTGAGAAGAGGGAGATTGGGATGCTCTGTGCAAAATAGTGATGGGCCTAACACCTCCCTGTTCAGTTCATGGTCGAACATTCAAATCTAACAAAAACTCGACTCCGAACTTCGAACCAGGACAATTCACCATTATTAGGTCATGCAGTATTTTAGTAGTGAACACATTCTCTAATGTTTCAGCTGACAGTTGAATGTAAAAGAATTGCTGGCAATTAAAATTTTACAAAAAAAATGGTGTGGGGTCCCCTTCCCATCCAAATCATGCCACTTCGGGTCTGATATGGATTTTGAGGGGAACCCCCATGCCAAAATGTAAAAAAAAATGGCGCGGGGTCCCCCCCAGATCCATACCAGACCCTTATCCAAGCATGCAGCTCAGAAGGTCAGGAAAGGGGGTGACTAGTGAGCGCCCCCCATTCCTGAACCATACCACGTCACAAGCCCTCAACATGGGGGGGTGCTCTGGGGCATGGGGGCTAACCCCCCCAAAGCACCTTGTCCTCATGTTGATCGGGACAAGGGCCTTTTCCCCACAACTGTGGCTGGTGGTTGTGGGGGTCTGCAGGCAGGGGGCTTATCGGAATATGGAAACCCCCTTTAATAAAGGGGCCCTCAGATCCCGGCCCCACCCATGTGAATGAATATAGGGTACATGGTACTGCTACTCATTCGCAAAAAAAAATTGTAGTGTAAAAAATTACAGAAGACAGTCTTTAACAAGTCCTTTGTTAATTAAAATTAAAAAAAATGTCACCCAAAGTAGGTTTGTCCCCCAACATCAATCACGATGCCACCGCCGACCCGTAAAAAAAAGAAGAAAAAAACACTCCACTCTCGATGCTGGCTCCCACCGTCTAACAGCTGCACCGGTCTAAGGGGCGAGGCCACCGGGTGATGCCAACCTGGTGACCCCCCCTTGTGACATCATGTGCTGTAATTGGCCAAAGCATTGCGCCTGACCTGTGCTCAGGTGCATTGCTTTGGCCAATCACAATGCACCGTCAGGGAACAGTGCATTGTGGGGCACGGTGGGCAAACTCAAACATCAAGGCCAACTTTAGTGCAAAACCACTGCATGGATTCAGAGCAGGTAAGTATAATATGTTTCTTATTTTGAATGAAAATTGCCTTTAATATCACTTTATTCATTTTTTTGTTTAACCAGTGGGTTGAATGAAAGAAAAAATGACTCGATTTCCCCATCCGCATTGAATTACTCCTGCTGTGCTATTTTGTTTTGATGGAAGGGAGCCTTCCCTGCCATCCAAACACACAGATTAGAAAAAATTACATGTAATTTGTGTACAGTGTTTGATGACATTTTCCAGGTAAAGTAGCACAGTGCTGAATAGTGAAAAATGCCCTGGCCATGAAGGGGGTAAAACCTTCTTGAGGTCAAGTTAAAATAACAAGAACACGCTTATGTGGGCCATGCTGTTCTGAAATAAAAAGTAATCCAGCTTCTAAACAGAGGCAAATTAAAGCCAACTAACATGTAAACCTCTTTTCCATGTGTTTCTAAGGGCATTGATGGTGAAAAAGCACTTTTTGTAAATTTCTGCACAAAAAGCTTGGAAAATCCTGTATTAAAATAATAATAATAACAGGAATAATAACAATAAAAGAAAAAAATTACCCCCATTTTGCATCCAAAGCTGTTTACATGTTAAAGATACTACCATTACAAAATGCCTAGATTCTTTTTTAGAGTGCCAGTCCTTGTTACACAGCCCTTTGCTGAAAAAGCTGTAGAGAGTTCCTCCTTCCTTTAGCAAATGTTTCTGAAATAAAAACTGTGTGTGTTAACTTACAGCAAACAAGAACTACCCTGGAAAATGGCAGCTAGGCAATGAAAGTTTGAATCAAATTCACTTTTTTCAGCTAACACACTTATTATTTTAGACTTTTTGACAAAACCCTGGGTGAAGTCTGGTCTTGCTTATTCACCAGAATTCCAGCACTAAGGTTATTTATTGATTTATACAGGTATCCAAGACTCAAGGTCCCTCTTATTAAACAGTCGATCTTAGAAAGTTCAGGTTATATATGTGTCATTGTCTTCAATGTAGCCTTTTTTGTGATTGCTAAACTCGTTGCAAAACATTCACTTTTGTTAAGGTGTACATTTATATCTTTCTGCATTACTAAAGTGGCCATAGTTTTTGAGTCCAAGTGCTGCAGGGACTCTGACTGGCTGTCACAACAGCCGAAACAGGAAGCCCATCATTAGCAATAGGAGAGGAGAACTGTGATTGGTCAAAGAGTGGATGAGAGAGTTAAAGTGTTACTAAACCCAGGACCCTGCATTCACTATATCTGGTCTCCCACAGTACACAGAACATGGAAATACAATTATTTTAGTAAATATAAACTGCTAAATACCTTTTTTCATCAACAGTCTTGTGACTTCTATCAGTGTCCAGCTGAGCACCGGTTAATCTTGCAGGAGTTTACATTCTCCTCTGAATGTCCTATGAAGCTGCATGACCCTCTGCCTGGACAGAGCTGATTGGCCCTGTGCTGATCCCATGCAGTCTCCCAAAAAAAAAAAAACTCTCTAACAATACACACCAAACTGAGCATGTACAGAGTGACTCCTACAGCTCTGTACTATCAGCAGATGGATTGGGGATGGTAAAATATGGGAAGGATCAGAGAAAACAGGAATAAACAGCCTTTTTACACAATATGGAGGATTAACCCCTTAGGTTCCACAGTGAGTATAACAAGCATGCTTTACTGTACATACAGACTGATTTTTACTGTTGTGGGTTTAGTAACACTTTAAGAGCAGAGTGTTTCCATCTCAAAGCCCTTAAAAGGAAGCTTTAATGGTGTGGTGTGAATGTTGTTGTTTTTTTGTTGTTGTTTCATTTTATAAAGTTATATACGTTTAAAAGGATTTTTTTATGTAAGTTTAACTAGGTTAATAAGATTTTTTTTTTACGAATAAACATTTTATTGCAATGCAGAGAAGACAGGATTAAACAGCCTTTTACACAATATGGAGGATTAACCCTTAGGTTCCACATGAGTATTAACAAGCATGCTTTACTGTACATACAGACTGATTTTACTGTTGTGGGTTTAGTAACACTTTAACCTCCCTGGCGGTATGATTATTTCAGATTTTTGGTGCTGAAAGCGGTACCAATATTTTGCATGGAAATTTGGCGTATTATATTGTAGGCCTGTAATTTTTAGGAATAACTCACTGAAATCTGTCCAAACAAGAGTCTAGTAAACATCCCGGGTAGGATAAAACTTGAAACACGAAATCATAAATTATAATTTAATATATAATCATAAAAATAATAATATATTAATAATACATTTAATTCAATAATATAATCAAACCAAAAACACTGAAATGTGAAATATAGCGCCAAGTTCGCACATCACTGAGCAAAGTCGCAAAATTGTTTTCAGTGTCTGATGACGAATTTCCCCCACAAATCATTATCACTCAATTCTGCAAGTGGTTCTAATTTACTATCGCTGTTCTCTAGCTGGTCTAAAACCCGCTTTTGACCTAAAGGGACACTTTTTGGATGCCATGGACGTTTCTCAGTTTCCAGGCAGAAAGAACAGTAAAAATGCAGGCAGGGCACAGGACAAAGCACAAAAGGACAAAATGTATGTGAAATGGTTTGATACAGTAATGTTTTACTATGTGATTTTAGTGATTTTAGTGAATGTCACTTTTTTGTCATTTTCAAATTTCCCACCGTTCCGTCCCTGTACGTCCCGACGCTCGCAGGGGATGGAACCCAGAAGACAGATGCAAGCATCTGCCAGATTACATTGCCGGGGACACTGCAGGAGGGACATCGCGGGAGTGCAGGACAAGGTAAAGTGATCGAGAGATCGCAGAGCAGCGCCGCATGGTATTCCCGAGTGTAGCTCGGGGTTTACCGCTTGTGGTACTGAAACTTTACCCCGAGCTACACTCGGGAATACCGCCAGGGGGGTTAAGAGCAGAGTGTTTCCATCTCAAAGCCCTTAAAAGGAAGCTTTAATGGTGTGTGGTGTGAATGTTGTTGTTTTTTTTTTGTTGTTGTTTTATTTTATAAAGTTATATACTTTTTAAAAGGATGTTTTATGTAAGTTTAACTAAGTTAAAAAGATTTTTTTTTACGAATAAACATTTATTGCAATGCAGAGAAGACAGGAATAAACAGCCTTTTTACACAATATGGAGGATTAACCCCTTAGGTTCCACAGTGAGTATAACAAGCATGCTTTACTGCATCTGCGTACAATATATATGTAAAGTGCTGCATAAATTGATGGCGCTATACAAGTACCTGCAATAAATAAATAAATAAATCTACAGACTAATTTTACTGTTGTGGGTTTAGTAGCACTTTAAGACTGGTGCACAACGGGGAAAAGAAAAAACACTTGTGGGGACAGAAGAGCAGGCAGGTTGGGCCTACTGTGACCAGGGTCTGCTGCTCCCTGAGTGTCATCGTAAGGGTAGAAGGACTCCTGCTGTGTTGTTATTGCAGTTTCATTGTGCCCTGCTGATCTTGGTGGCTGCACCACTGTATTCACAGAGAGCAAGTAGCACTACAATTCTCAGCAGGACTAGAACTGCTTGGCTGTGCCTGGATGGACTGCAGCTGACTAAGGGCTGAGACATTGCTATTCATGGGTACTCCTGAGAGCAGAGACTGAGCTTGCTGCTTGTGAATACTTGTACCCTACACAGCATTCCTGGACACGGAACAACTGCCAATGACTGGCAAAGTCTGGAGGACCTCAGGACCTCTGGATTCTTTGTACTTTCACTGAGCGCTGCAACATAAGAGCCAAGACCCCAGTGCCCTGTTTCCATGTTTCCACAATGTTAGAAACCAATTGAAACCGGACTTCTTTGTTTTTATCTTTGAGGATATTTGAGAATCCATTACTACACATTACAAGCAGCTAGATAAGACAGGAGACAGGAGAATACATTACTACACATTACAAGCAGCTAGATAAGACAGGTGCATTTTAAAGGCTAAGTTTACCTTTAGTAAAAAAAAAACCAAAACATAATTTTTTGCAGCTAATGTGCATTTATTTTTTTTTTCTAAGGAGCCTGCAGAGCATTGCGCCCTCAATCAGCAGATCATGGATGAAATGTCATGCTCCTGCAGACTCTCAAGATAGCTGTCTGCCGGTACCTCAAACAGGCAGGCACTTACTTGAGAGCAGGAAGATCAATGAAATACAAGAGCGCTTTCCAGCACCTTCATAGTTCATTGAGTACTACAAGCCATCGGCTTCAAAGGATGACGGTACTTGTAGTCTATTCCTTCACAGGAAACTGTGAATGAATGATAAGGTTGAGTGGGTGGAGCCCTGCACTGCTATACTGTTTTCAGACTGTGACAAGTTACATCCTAAAACTCTTTCACTGCTTGGAAAGAATAAGTACACACCTCAATGTATTTCTAAAGTCTAACAGTGGGGTGGGGGGGAGGGTGGGCAAGCAGTGCTGTGTATGTCTATGAACAAATACAACCCGTCTAGGGAGCATGCCCACACCAGTGCCCCCATAGCACACAGCTTACTATGGAGGCGCCTGTAAAAATAAGTGGAGAGCACTGAACAGGTAAGTATAACCTAATATTTTATTGTAAAAAAAATGGCTTTACAATCACTTTATTGTATATAATTTTGGCAAAGGTGCATTTTATGTTACAGGAGGTGACAATCAGTTCCCATCTTTGGCAAATGGTTTGGTTATGTATAATCACTGACACTTCAGCATAAACACTCTGCAGCTTCATCACTTTGCACGTCATTGGACTATTTTGATTTATTTATAGTATATTTGGATATTCACATCTCATTGGACTATATGCATTTGGATCGTTAATACGTGGGACTATTTGTTATTTATTATATTTTTTGTATATGAATTTATTGATATTGATTATTTATATTGGACCATTTTGCACTTTGAATGTTTTATACTTGGGATCATTCTCATTTGTTGATATGGATTTATTGATATTGAAAATTAATTTTTTGGTTGTTTGCACTTTATATGTAGGAAACATATGAATTTATAATTGTATTATTTATGGTGGAATGAGGATGATATATTTGAAATATTTAGTGCTTCATACAAAGAATAGATTCACAGGTAATTAATTAGAGGTTTTATATAAAGACTGATCTCTAGAGAGCGCAGTTACATTTTCACAATCCTTAAAGCGGAGTTCCAGTCACACTGTGAAAAAATAAAGTCAGCAGCTACAAAAACTGTAGCTGCTGACTTTTAAAAAACAGCCGCTCACTTGTCCTTTGATCCCACGGTGTCCTCCCCGCAGCGCGTTTTACCAGCTGTCCGGTGTTTCCTCAGAGCCAGCATCTTCAGTGTGGTCACCCGGCTGTGACAGGTTGCGGCTTCACAGCTGAGTGCCCACTGTGCATGCACAAGTAGTGCTGCACTTTCTGAATGGTCCCATAGTCTTCTGGAACCTGTCACGTGTTCCAGAAACTACGGGGAGGGAGGGGGGAGGACAACTTCCGCTTCCGATCACCTAGGTGTTTGCAGCAGAAGTAGGAGCGGGTACCTGTCAATTCTGGGTACTAGTTCCCCAAAAGTGCCAATCCTTAATGGGGAGCTGGGTACCAGTCTTTAAAGCGGAACTTCACCTTTTAGGTGGAGCTCCGCTTTAATTTTAGACTGTACGTCTTTTAGTAACTGCAGCCCAAATTCGATCTAGATTTGATCTGGCTTGTGCAGATACCTATTAAGAACTGTTTTGACAACATATTTAAAAGATCAGCATACTAAAATCTGATTATATTTAGGCAAAAAAGAGGTTTGTTCAGATATATTGGGGTCGATTTGTCAAAGACAAATAGGTTGTTCATTTTACAAGCGAAATTTTTCTTTGCTTAGTGCAGTGGTTCTCAACCTTCCTAATGCCGTGACCCTTTAATACAGTTCCTCATGTTGTGGTGACCCCCAACCATAAAATTATTTACCCAGTAATTATAATTCATGAGTGTCGTTTTACCTCCAATACTGCTGCTTTCAACACAGCAGCTGCTTTCTACACAGTAGCTGCTCTTTACACATCAGAAATATGTGTTTTCTGATGGTCTTAGGGGACCCCTGTGAAAGGGTCGTTCGACCCCCAAAGGGGTCGCAACCCACAGGTTGAGAACCACTGGCTTAGTGAATGCGATGAAAATTTACTTTGCATAAAATACCCGGACAAATGCAAGGGAAAAAAAATAGCTTTTTTGCTGGCATATGATATATAAGTAGGCAGAGCTTCACCTTATTCACTAAGCTAAGGGAAAATTCCCTTGCAAAGTTAAGATTCTCCTGCAAAGTGAACAACCTATTTGCCCTTGGTAAATCAACCCCATTATATTGCTGTTTTTTTTTTTTTTGTATTAACAATTTTTATTGGTTTTCAAATAAGTAAATTATAAACAGAACAGAGAGAAACATCGATGGCATAACTACATATAATCATGTCCAATAGAATCATACAAAGTCATACAAAATCAGTGCAGAAACAATCAGGATCTTAGATTCGAGCCGGCAAAGAGGAAATGAAGGAATCCCACGGGAGCCAAATCAACTCAAATACAGCAGACAAACAATTATGTAAAGCAGTCAAATACTCCATCCGTCTTACTTCAGCAATAAGTTTGTACAAAGTCAGCAGTGTGGGGGGAGTAGAAGATAACCAACCCATAGGAATACTTCTCCTGGCCGCGGTCAACACGTGAGCAGCAAGTTTTCTGGTTGGATTAGATAGACCCGGGAATGGCAAGCCCAGCAAAAAATGCAGAGGGTCAAAAGGGAGCGAGGCATGCAGCATTGATTGCAACAAGGAACGGACATCCTCCCAAAAAGGAACAATAGATTTACAAGTCCAAAAAATATGATAGAGAGAACCTGAATCCTTACCACAGCGCCAGCAGACAGGAGAAGCACTCGGGTTGAAAGCATGAAGAACCTCAGGTGTTTTGTACCATAACATCATAATCTTATAAATGTTTTCCTTAAAAACCACACAAACAGAAGATTTAGATGCATTTACCCAAATATTCTTCCACGTCAGTAAATCAATATCACGTTGTACAAACTGAGACCACCTACGCATGTAAAGGTGAGTTTCATTAGATAAAGGGGATGCAGCCATAAGAATTTTATAAGTATTGGAGATAATACCCCTTTGGTGGGGGCTCTGCATACATAAACGTTCGAAGGGTGTAGGCTTCCCCAGGATCAATGAGGGTGATAGAGTAGAGAAAAAATGGCGTATTTGGAAATATATATATAGGTGATGAGGAGGTAAAGAAGCTTTTTTCTGGAGATCCGGGAATGAATGTAATTTACGAGTCACCGGATGTACCAAGTGACGCAATTGAAAAAGGTTAGATACCACCCAAAGAGACATCCGAGATATGGCCATATTGTCTGGCAGGTTAGGGTTGTAGAGGATATTTGTCAAAGGGGAGCATTCAGAGGCTAGAGTAAATTGAGTCTTACATTTCTGCCATACCGTCAATGAAAATTGCATGGGACCAAGGAATAGATGGCGGAAGGAAGAGATATCCACTGCCGCGGTGGACCAAAGAAGGGAACATGGATGAACTGGGGATAGTTGTAAAGATTCAATCTCAGTCCATGTGTTGGGAGGGTGTTGCGTGGACCATGACAGAAGAAAACTAAGGTGAGTTGCATAATAATACTTGATTATATCCGGCGCTCCCAGACCTCCCCTAGAACGCGGAGAAAGCAGAACAGAACGTGCAATCCTGTGCCGCATATTGTGCCAGATAAAGTGTAGGAAAGATTTCTGAAGCGAGTGAAGCTTGGACATAGGACGGGAACGGGGAGAGTTGCAAACAAGTACAAGAGTTTGGGTAACACGGCCATTTTTAGAACGTTAATGCGACCGAGAAAAGAGATGGGCAAGGCATCCCAACGTTTCAGAGAGCGAGAGA